GTTTACATTTGTATTGAAAGGTAACATAAATGCATAACCTTTAATCATAAAGCTAGACAATTAAACATACTTCCTCCGTTATCTTTTAAATGCAACACTTTTTACGAGATTAGAATAGGTAAACAAGCACTTTATCAAAATAATTTCAACACTAAGATTATAGAAAGGTTAAGTACTACGTGTATAAATAATTTTAATTAATTGTTCATTTACATTACTTAATATCTTCCTCAAAATGCGTGCCAAAAAGGTGTGTTACATTTAAAAGAAAACAGAGAAAGTCACTACATTTAAAACTCTCACTCTATCCTCAAAACTCCACCTCTCAATTAGTAGTCACTACATTTTTTCACAAACAAATCAAGCAAATTTATAGCGTAATAGACCTTTTTGTTAATAGAACTATACATTACGGGTATAATGTATAGTTTATTTTTGCTACTTATTTCTATAATGTTCATTTGATTATCTTATGAATATGATATGTAACAATAATGTATAGTTTATTTGAATTTCCTATTTGAAGTTTGAACATTGGGTGGCTCTTACAAGCTCCATTGTGACCAAAATTGATAGAATGATGAAAGTCAAATGCCGAAAACTTAAGGTCATTTTTAAAACAAAATTTAATTGGGTACTATGTGTCAAAAACATTAAAGGTATTAAATTTCCAACTTAACTTAAAAAACAATGTATTTTCTGACAATTACCTATTTTGAATCATTACAGTTTGTTTTTTAAGAGTAGGATGCACATTATAATACTGCATTTTATTTTCATTATCACGAACTTCATCAACAAATTTACAAAATCATCAATGGGATCATCATAATTATATGCAAAACTAGGGCAGACTTGCATGTCCCAAACTCTCACAAGTCCAAATGAAAGAAGCCTATGTACGTGGTCTGTTCTTACATTTATGGACTATGAAAGAAGTCTATTTTTTCACATTGATCAGTATAAACGAAAGCGTTCGAGTATATGCTCTAAATTTTGGTGCCAATGTGCCTTCTAGGTTCCTTAGTTTTTTTGTTTGACTCGCATCATCGCATGGGCAACTAGGAATTTAAGAACCGTATCATTTAAACTTCAGTCTGATGGTGTTGCAAAAACCGAAAACACTGCAAGAAACCAACTGCCGCCTTACAAGTTGAGCTACTACGTCAACCAGCTCATGGTTTCCCTACCAGGTCGCTCGACACCACCAGTCAGCCCCACTTAGATCTCAAGCAGCTGATTAAAGTGAAAGAATCAATCCAAGCGTAAACTCACAAGGCTCAGTGAGCTTAATGCAGAATCTGGGGTTGAGTATTGAGTTTAAAAAGCAAAAAGCTTAAAGCATAGCAAGAAAATAGTGCAGATCATATACACTCCTACATCGCAACAATCACAAGCTAAGTTAGCTAACTGCTTCTGGTATACAGATACTAGTAAACAGCAGCAATTGTGCCGTAATATATAGACCAACATAAAGTCATCTTGCATATCATGAACCACAATTTCATTTCATTGCATGGAAGAGGGACATATCTTGCTTAAAAACCTCCCTTCCAAAGGGTAAGGAAACATCAGCTGAATGAATAATGTTTACTTCGGAAATTCTAAATATTGAGCTAAAGATAATATGAAGTATAATCCACTTATGAAAGCATTTTATCAATATAGTTGTATCCTATGTGACCAACATCTATAAGGCTATAACAACTGATGTTAGATCTTCATCAAGTAAAGGAAGCAACAAAGAGCGTGCAGCTAAATAAGATGAACATCCATGACAACTTTTAAGCCCGACAATTGGGGAAACAACCAAACCTTTAGCAATGTCAGACATATAACTAAGCTCCTCATGTTTCTCTCTTTAATGCACCTAGCACTACTCAAGCACAATTTCTTCATTTTACTGCCAACTACCAGTGAAAAAGTATACGAAAACATAGCCATATGACATCAACCAATTTTCATACATGATAGAATTTTGTAAAGGATAGCTAGCTGTCATAAAAAAACAGACAAACATCTATTGTTTTCAGCACATAAAAGAGCAATGTTCCTCCAACTGATAAGACACTAAAATCGTAACAATCCACAGGATGCCAAGGACAGGGTGTACACATACAAGTCAGAAAGATAATCATAGCGGAAGATTAAACCCTTCATCTTCCAACAGATTGATTTACAATTCTAACATCTAATATCCATGACATGAATCAATTCCAACTTCCTTTATAGTAGAAAAGAAGCTGTATACTTTTTCAATTTATTGGGTGTTAAACAAAAGACAGGCGCAAAATTATCCTTGAGTTAGAATGAAGATATTGCTTTTCTATAAAAGCATCAAAGAAGAACACATCTTTCACAAATCATGAAACTCACTAGCCCCACAAATTAGACAAAGATATGACCCATGATGATCCTAAAACTATACAATTTTGGAAACCGTATAACCAATAGCATAAAAGAAGATTGGAAAATATATTGAAAGAACCACGTTGAGATATAGAGCGTAATCACCTAGTTTATGTCAGCAGTGCTTTCTTTGAGAACAAAAAAACTCATATTGTACATCACATTTCAAGGAAATGTTTACAGACATTTGGAATTAAAAAAATAAAATAAAATAAAATAAAATAAATAAAAAAATAAAAAATAAATAAATAATAAAAAACCAAAGCTAACACACAAAGTTCAAAATCAACAGAACCAAAGTCAATCAACACCCAAACTGGGAGAGTGAAAAACCCAAAATAGAATGAGTAAACCAGAAATTTAAAAGACAAATGAAACAAAAACATGATAAATTGAGCTGCACCATCAGAAATTGTGCTGCAACAGCATCGGCTCAGATAATTGGATATGCAATAGAATTTTGCCGTGCACCAAGGCTCCCCTAAGACAAACCACAATCCTATTCCTTTTGAATGGAAGAGCACCACATCTAGCTTCAAAACCTCCCATAAAAAAAATGGAGAATAACCAGAAGTGCTGAACGAATAATGCTGGTTACTTCATATATTTCCACTATATAGTAACAAATAAATCTTCATAAAATCATTTCTTCAATATAATTGCATCCAATATAACCAATACCTACAAAGCTATAACTCTAGATGTCAAACCTTCAAAAAAAAAAAAAAATAGCAAGCTACAAAGAGAATACAACTTTATAGGCATAAAAAAGCCACGAAAACTGTAATCCAGACAATTAGGGGTAAACATTCACAACACCATAATAGCATTTTTGGCCATAGAAATAAGTTTCAAATGCTTCTTTTCTTTAATGTTAGCATATACTCAGGGGAAATTTTCTTCAAATCACCAACTTTAATGAAACAAGGATTTTTAAAATAATCATGATCTCAACCCAGTTCCACAATATAGTTAGAATCGTTATATTGCTTTCAGTGTCATAACAAACATATGTACACTTCAGCAAGAAATGACAATAGCCACATCAGCTATCCAGTGTGTTGTTCTATGACTCAAGGATTCTGGAGGTCAAAATTTAAATCCCTATCAATCTACAATTAGAGTTGAGGCAAACTATGAGGCTGACTTTAAAAGAACAAACAGCGTAAAGCATTTAACGTGACAAACAGATATAAACAGGGTACTTTGCTCGAAAGTAGGAGTGGCCTTTGTTTGAAATGAACAATTCATGACCAAACAACCTATGCAACACCTATCCAGTATCCAGCATGAAGATTGTTTAAGCCTATGCAACACCAAACAACAGTAGCTACCGTTAGTCCGTAACTGGCAACCTAAAAAGGTATTGCAGTGGTTTTGAAGTATTGACTCTAGAAAATAATTTGATTTACAGACCTGTAGCAAGTATCAAAACTGGAGTCTGATTTGAATCCAATGCATAGATAAAGACTGGAAGGAGAAACTGACACACCATCATAAATACGCTCTCCCCACCCACATCAAAAGAGCTTTTCTATTTATCGCATTTGGCACATCGACAGAGAAGGAAAGGAACAATTACCCTTTATCTAATATAAGCAAATCAATCACCATATTTCATGGTCAAACTACTATGCCTATGAATTAGCCAGAAAAACTGAAGCAGGAGATTAAATGTTACATCTTATAACAGATTGATTTATAATACTACGTCTCATACTACCATTAAATATCCACGACATAAAATAAACATTAAAAAAAAAAGTATAAATTCTTTATTTGTTGAGGCAGAAAAAGAAAATGCAAATGAGCTTGAAAGTTTTACAGATAATTTTCAAATCCAGATACATACGGTTAACAAACATTAAAATTCCGACTTTTCAACCAACTGATCATACAAAATCCTAGAAAATTCTACCTTTCAATTTTCAATCCCCATCACTACATCCATCAAACCATACACACAATTCATACCAACATTGAAGCTCAACTTTTTGATCATACCAAGAGTTAATTCAATCATTCAATTCTCAACCCAAATCACTACTTCCCTCAAACAATACACAAAAGTCATGCAAACATTGAAGCTGATCATACTAAATTCAATTTAATTCAACCATTCAATTCTCAACCCAAATCTTATAAACAAGCCATACAAAAAAGTCATACAAACGTTGATATCTGACTTTTCGATCAAACGATATTCAAGTTGATTCAACCTTTTGATTTTGAACCCAGATCATTGCATTCATCAAATTATACACAAAAGTCATACCCAAATTGGTATACAGCTTTACGCTCAAACCAAATTCGAGTTAATTCAACATTTTAAATATCAACCCACATAGCTACATTCATCAACCCATACACAGCGTCATGCAAACATTGAAATAAACCTTTCGATCAAACCAAATTCAAATTAATTCAACCGTTCAATTCTCAACCCACATCAATACATTCATCAAACCCTGCATAAAAGTCATACCAACATTAAAATTCTGATTATTTGACCAATCAATCAAAACCAAATTCAAATTAATTCAACCTTTCAATTCACAACCCAAATATTACATTCATCAAACCATAAAAAATCCAAAAAAATTAATATCAAATTTAACTTTAGAAAAGGTCAAATTATTAACCAAGTTAAACATTACAATTCTCATCAGAATTCCATCCACAACCCAAATTATTAAATTACACAAACATGCAAATTATGGTACGAAGTATTAGACAACAATTTCTTCCATAAATTTCACAACATAAACATAAGACCAACATAATTAATCATACTACTCCATTATTATTTTCAATAAAGATTAAAACTTTCAAACAACACGACCAACAACAGGGTACTTAGCTTCAAACTTCTTCTCCCAATCAGCAAGAACCTCAAGTTCCTTGTCAGAAAGGCCATCAATGTTGGAAACGACGTCGTCTTCATTCTTGCTCATCTTAGCAAGAGCTCTACTAGCATCTTTTCCGGCAAACATGGCGTAGGCCCCACCTGGTCCGTAGAAATTCTTGCCGGTTGAAACATCGAAAACCCGACCCTTAATTGCGACATAAACGGGTTTTGATGGGTCGGTTCCATCGTACTGTTTCAGCTGTTGTAGTGTGAACTCCATTGATGATGTTCTTCGGATGAAAAATGGGGTTTTTAGGAGAGAGAATTTGGAATTTTTGTTGGAAGGTGTGAAAATGTGTGAAGATTGAGTTGGTGAATATAAATTGTTGTTGGTTTGTATAAAGGAGTTGGCTTTTAGGGTCTTGATTCGCCTAATTGTTACGCTACTCGAAGCTGAAGGATACATTTTTAATTTTTATGTTACAATTGTAATTTTGTAATTAATTGAAAATTAGTATCTGTATTTATTACATTTTGTATAAACGAGTAGAAATTATTCAACTGCTCGATAATTAAAGTTGATACCTTGGGTCAAAAGTATTTTTCTATGGGGCCATTAATGTCTTTGTATTGATTTTTCCAATGATGCATTTAGATTTATATCGATAAAGATGGATGTAGATTGTGCACTCTGGCTTGTGTATGTGGTTTGTGTGTCTAGGATTTGACTAGGCCCAGTCCATTTCTGAGTCTACAAGTTACGTGATGGGTTAAATTTTTAAATAGACAACCCAAACTTTACGTGATATTGTGTTTTACACTTATACTTACATGCATAGGTCAAACTAAACTTATTCCAAGAAAATTGTGGTTTATGCTCGGCACGGATTAATATGACCTAATGTCATCACTATGTACCAGTAAGTTGAATATGTATTGAAGTGGCATGAAGGCCGATCAAGCACTACACAAAATCGACCAAATTCGGCATAATCCCTCCACAAGCCTAACATGGCATGCCGATGGGCCATGAGCCATGCATGGTAACATCTTCGAAATTTGTTACAAGCACAATGGGTTCAACGTGCTTAAATTGACCACATTGCACAAACAAAAATGTTTAAGTGGGCTTGACACAATACGTGGTTGGCCTATGCAAGTATAGTATGATATGATTTCTTGGTCAATTCCAAGCACAACCCATTGGGAAGTTATGTAGGTTTGTGGCTTGTTTCATGCCAACTGTATACACCGGGTATATGTAGAGATAGACGTATCCAAAAGACATATATTTACTCATTTTGCTCCATAACAATGAAAAAACGAGCAACCATATATCCTTGAATATGCCTAATTGTCTTTGTCTATCTTTTAAGTGTACCAGAGTGTAAGTAATACTTCTCCCACATTTCTTTTTCATTTGTATCCATTGACGAAGGCTTTGAAGTAAAGGTTTTGTTCATGTGGTCGATAAATCAAGTTTGTACGAGTCATCACCTTCTTTCTCTGTGCTTTGTAGGATTTAAACACAGACTTTAAAAACCATCTTGCGCTTGTAATTTTCCAACTTCCAAGCCTCTACCAATTGGAACCCCCTGACTAAATCATAACCTCAGCTCAGATGGCACTGCAATTCCAATATGAGACACAAGAGCACATTGTACCTGCATAGCGGTCCCTTATATTCCCACCACCGCCCTCGGCCTCTCGAGGCCAAACTACTCTTTAGCTGCTCCACCACAGTTGAGCATACCGCATACCCGTCAATAGGTGGAACTCACTACCTTACAGACACCTGCCTATTTGTTCGAAGTTTCGAATGAACGTAATTTCAAATGAACTAAATGCTCCACCTCCCCCGGGCATTTCATCACTCAATTAGGTACCTTATATTATATAGTGCCAGTAGCATGCAACTCTATTACCATGCTATTGCTACATTTGATAGTGCTGTATGGTTACATGATGAGAATGCAATCGGTAAATAGTTGAGAGAACTCAAATGAAGAAAAAGATTGAGTTAAATTCTCGACCAGACTGAAAACAGAACTTTACTATAAGCGCAAGCAGAAAAAGAAAGATTAATTAGAATTAGAGAGTTCAAGTTACTGTTTATGCCTTCTGGGTTCTTGACCCTTGATACAGCAAAAACAGATTGGTATATAAAGGACCTATGAATATAAGAAATGTCTAGCATACTGAATCTCCTGAACTTCTTCATGTCTCCAAAAAATTCGCAAAAAATAGGAACTGTCTTGAATATTGCACATAAAATACGAAGTCCTAAAGTATGATGTGCAATGATAAACCTGATCATACAAAAGGAATCAACAAAACAGCTATGCATCTTTGATATCTTCTACCAGGCTCGTTCCCATCAAGCTATTCTTGTAAATTGTAGGCTCAACGAATGAAGGATTAGCAAGCAATTAATACAGAGGCAATCCACCACCGGAAAACTCAACTTCCTGAGAGTAGAACAAAATTTTGTCAAGATTATAATCAAAATTGAGTCCAAGATACAAGCTCGTACAACATTAATATAGATGGTACAATAGACTAGCTAGTGACATGCAAGATATTTGAAACCCCAACATTATTAATGCACCTACCTTAAATGGCAATCAGACAAGAAAAAACAGCCTAAAATTTCCTTCTCTCCACCAGCTTAACAGTAATTATTCCTTCCTCAGAAATTAACAAAAATTATACTTCGTCTGTGCATTTGTGCATACATGACTGGTAGTGCACCCTCACATATAACATAAATAAAAAGAACATACCACTAGTATTGAGGATGAAGGACATAATGGAAAAAGGTATCACTACATCAGCATTCAACAACAATAACTAAAGGAGCATCGACGTGTATTATACATCAATTCAAGGATGTGTCAATCCATTAGGTCAATCATCTATCCAAGGAATAGTGTCCAAGAAGCTATCGAGTAATGATATATCAGTATCAGAGCAACTCCATGACAAAGAGCCATAGTAGAGCTGAGGACAGAAGACTATGAAGGGAAGATTCTTGGGGTTGGATAGCTGATCAAAAGCACCCCTAACATATACAAACATCAAGAACAAGTATGATGATCTATTTCATTTCACCAATAAATGTCGTTATCCACTATTCTCACAGCCTTTAAAAGAGTCCTGTATAAGCATCAGTCATCATATTCCTTAAGCACACAGATGCAACTATTTCATATGAAGAGTACAGAACTAATTAAGAGTATGTACATTATCACATCTTCATAACAACATCACAGTGGTTCTTAGCACTTAGTTCCATCACCATTGAACAGTTTCATACTTTCATCACTACACTTAAAAGATCGCAATTATGGATTTGTTTTCGACAACAACTTGCATATGTTCACCGTGACATATATCTACAGGGAATCATTGTTAAAACTTGGGGGGGGGGGGTAAATTGGAAACAGGTTGCACCAAAAGCCTCAAAAGTTGGATCATATGGGAAGGTGACCAATAAGGATGGGATTTAAAAAAATCATATCAATCACCTCTGGTATAATCTTGGCATTCAAGAACTAAAGATGGAAATCACCTCTCTGCTTGTGAGGGGCAAAGATATATCATCTTGATCTCCCAACAACCACCAGTATAATGCAGAAGTCAAGAGCTCTTAACAAAATCTAAAACCCCTATGATAGAAACAAAACACCGCATGGCAATAAAAGTATTCCAAGCACCAAACTCTAAAAAGACTAAAGCTAAAACCCCTATGATAGACATGGAGTCATGGGCTCAAAAGCCATAAGCTTATACACTCTAAAAGAACTGGTCTGAATTAAGCTTTAATCAAGAATATTGACCTTTAGACAGGTTTTCAAGAGCTTAATAACAAGGACACTTAGATATAAATCATACATGATCATTAACTAGATCAAGAACAAAGGTATCCATCAAGGCATCACATCTAAGAATCATCAGTGGTTTTCTCATATTGTATGTCACCAGAATTCCAAATAATAAACAAAAAAAGATATAAGGTAATGCTAGAACCTGAGCAGGAGGTAAAGATGACACCCAATCTGAAGCATGTGTTGGGAGAAGACCCAGTGTGTTCAGCTGCCAGTACGAAAATAAAAAGGTATAAACATTGTTAAAAAAAAGAAGAAGAAAAAACCCTATCTCCTTTCCAATACAATGCCTTAGCTACTCAAATTACCTTCCAGATACCAAGGGCAAGTCCCACCATATTAAGAGCAAGGAAGACCAACTTTGGCCCTAAAAGCTCAACTTTGCTGTCCTTGTAAGGCTCGAAAACTGTAAAACAAACCAATTTTGATTGTCATCAAGCTATCATATTGCATCATACCTACCAAGCAGAAATGAAAAAAAAACAATGTACTCGTATATGTTATAACTACTACAGTGTCATATAGAGGATAAAACAAACTCAATAACAAGACATTCAAGTAGATGATTGTACCTTTTCCAACATCTCGAAGGGCACTAATGGGCTGCCAAAGAGCTGAAAAAGTTATACCAATGCTAAACAAATGTACGGTGCTTCCAGACATCCACATCATGAATCCCATCATCAACAAATTCTTTACAGGACCTTGTGCAACTTCCCAAGCTTTCTATATACAGAAACAGAGTACAACGTTAGTTACATGCTAGTCAATAGTAGTCATAAATCCCTCCTTCACTTACTACAACCAAACAACAGATTCCGTAATCTTATCTCATGACACTATCTATCCAGTATGAGGCGATGACATCTAATTGAGCAATGACTTCAAATTCAGAAAATTCTTAGCTTATGAAAGTGATTCTCACTTCAAAGCTATCTCGAAACCCAACCCGTCTCTCCTTACATTCAAATCAGCTAGCCACACTACAAACAATTGTATTTCTGTTCAGATACACTATCTATTGGGTATCACACCACGACATCTAACAGAATACTACAATTTTAGAATAATCATACAATCAATTGAAGATCACATAAAAGTCAATAGTGTCGCAATTTGATTACAACCAGTACTATCACATTCGCAAAATTGATTCAAATTATGCTAATTAGTAAGCGCAGAACTAAATAAAGTCCTCGATTAGAGTAATAAATTGCCAAAGAAAAACATAAACCCTAATCTAGTAAAGATGATTAGAATTTACCTGAGCTTTCCAATTAGCTTCAGCATCCTTCTTTTGACGAGCAACAGACGAATCTTCCTAAATCATTACAACAAAAAACAACAAATTAAACCCTAATTTCACAAATTCACGATCAAATCGAATAAAAAAAAATCGAAATCAAAACCTGATCTTGAGAGGCGCGAGTGAAACCAGGAGGATCTGGAAAGTCGCGAGTAGAAGGAGCAGTGGAATTATCGGTGAATTCAACAGCCCATCTTCTTCCTCCAACCATAATTCCTTTACCTTTCTCCATATTTTCTCTCTCCTCTTTCTGGGTTGTAGGCTCAGACTT